TCACAGAAATCTAGTCAAGGGACTGGCTTTAAATCTCTACTCAAAGGAGCATAACACAATGAAATAACTGGTGTGACATTTCAGTTTCATAACCATGCACCATTCAGGTGAGCAGTTCTGCTTGCTGATAGCTAGCAGGCTTCCTCTACAAGAACATACTAACTGCAGTGATGTACTGTAGCTGGCTAGTTCTTTTGGCTTAATTCTCTTGCTGCTGTGTCATTAGCATTGTTAACAACTATGTTACTTCAGAAGATATTGAGAATCCCATTTTTCACATAAAGATGGATGATTTCATCTTACATTATCAGTAGATGAATTATTCTTTAAAGCATCTATTGATAAGTTTGGCCCTAGCCTACCAGCAACTGCTCATGATTGCTTTCAAATACATAAGAATCCATATCCATAATTTATGATTTATAATATATATACCAACCCTGGCCATTTTAAAGCCTGTTTTTTCCTCATTGGAATTTTCTTAGTGCAAAACAAACAAACAAACAAGCAAAAAATTCAACCCTCTAATTCAAGTAGAACCCTCCCATTATTTTAGCATCAGAGATTCTGGGAAGTCTCTCTTTAAGTCCAAATGGATTTTGAAGGAGCAGAAGAGTGTAGGGATTTTAGGTTAGGAACTGTCAAGGTGTTGTAAATAAATTTTCTTACCTACCTTTGGCCCTCTAACTTCTGTAACACATTGCCTACTAGAATCTTTGGCCCTCTAAAATTGAGTACTTTTGGGTCCTGAGTTTGGGCCAAAGAGATACACACTTTGTGCCTACTTAGAGTTGATAATATCTAAGAGATAGATAATAACCCACATAGATAATATCCTTGACTTGATAATAACCTAGGGGATTTGACAATATTTCTAAGCTTCCCTTTCCTCGTCTATAAATATGAATAATAACACAAACTAAAGTTTTTCTATTAAATCTGGTCAATATATAGCAGAATCTCAATCAATATCAGTTATATCTGTTGGTATTATCATTGTTACCATCCATGTCAGTTTCCTACATGTTGATCTGATGCAGGCATGATATATAATGTCAAAAACAAAATAACAAAGAATAGATGGTAAGTGGAACAAAACTACTTGGTAATGATTAGTCACTACCTTTTTGAAAAAAAATAGGATTAAGCTCGACTATTATAATCATTGTTAACATCTGAACAAATACTTCTCTGGCAGTTGGGTGTTTTAAGTACGCACTACCTTCTTGAAATCTTGCTCACAGTGTACAGTTTTTAAAATCTGCTCTGTTCGAATGGTGTAACCATCTGTCTTTCTTCTTCAACCGTGGTCCTGCTGTGGTGGGATTGGAATTGATAAGGTTTGCTCTTTACAGCTCCACTGGCATTCTACTTATCCATACACAGTCTCTTTTTGTGGCTTGTAGGAATTGAGCACTTTTTCAAATTAACTTTTATCTGCTAAATAATGAACACATCTTTTTTTTTAATATCACAAAGTTTCATCTTGGAGCCTTTCTTTTTTTTTTTTATTACCAGAATTATCTTCTCCCATCCACTCTCCACCCTCAGGTAGGATGTAATAAAAAAAAAAAAAACCACCTTTCTGGTATATTACACAATTCAGGATTTCATTAGATCCTGCTTGATGGCAAAGACTATTTACCCAGGGACAAAACAGCACACCTTTACAAGATGATTCATAGGAGTGGAATGTGGTTTTATATAACAAAATGGCTATTTCCCCCATTTTATGGGAAAACTAGCTGGGCTAGCTTTTTCCTTCTGAAAGTTAGGGTATTTTCTTGGACTGTCAAAATGTGTAGGAGTGTCTCCATGCATGGAGAAATGAATGTATGCATTAGTTTTGTGGTATATGCATATCTATCTCTTTTATGTACCTGCCTACACTCCACAGGAGACATAAGTCCAAGGTAGATGACTGTTAAAGTTCGTTTGCGACAGTAAGACTGTTAGCTTCAATTTAGGATGAGAGAAAAACAAAAACAAACAAGCAATAAAACAACCCAGACACCTGCCCAAGGGCTTTGGGTAGGTGGCATCACTTGCCTTCTGGAGTTAACAGGACTACAAATCTGAACTCTTTCTATCTCCTTCCAACTTAACTAGTTTCTCCTAGTCATCCTTCAAAATTGGTCTAAGGTTTGGGTCCCTATTAAAATTAATTTTGTATGTGAAAATTATTCATTAGTTCCACATATAAGCTAGCTTAGAGGTTTGTAAACTTCATTTTATAAACTCCCAAAAAGATTTTCTCAAAACCTATGCTCCTACTTATGTAAAGTTGATATCTAATTTTGTTTTCAGTAAAAGTTTAAATAGTTGCAGAGAACATAGTGGCTGGCATATTTTAAGTGTATCTAGGATATCAATTTTAAGATGATTCCATTTCTAAATAATACAGAAATTAATATTATGAATACATTAATATTTGCTTGATATTTTTCTCATTCATCAAGAAGTTAATGAACAAAATTTTTACAGTTGGGAATTTCACATGTTTTTTATTTTGTTCAACTTGTTGAATTAGAGTCTAATGTAGTATTTTTGAAAGCATTTTATTGATTATTATATTTCTTTGAAACAAAAACATGTACAAAAATTTAAATTATTGTTTGATTGCCTGTGACTTCAAGGATTTAAGTATTACAATGTTCTTTTGGGTTGGGTATTACAAGCATTACTATTGTATAATCATCCCAAACACCAAAAATATATTAGAAATTTAGTGACACTTAGTCAATAAGTATTCAATTTACAAAGCAAAAATGATCAAAAACCTATATATTTTAGATAGGCAGGCTGTTTTGTCTTCATTAGTTTATAGATAGTTTTTGATACATTTTAATTTCCAGGATGGGACATGAGTCAGCATGAATGTTAGTTCCATTTAAAATTTTACAAATGTCTACGTGAGAAGGCTTGCATGACTGAACAGGGGGGGAATAGAAGGAGATTTTCCATGACAATGCCATTGATTTCTTTGTTTCTACCTCAGATCAGGTAGCAATCTGTCATCGAAGATTATTTTAATAATCAACTGACAAACAGATTAGGAGTTTTAATATTGAAAACAAGAAGTTGGAAATCTCTTTATATCCCCAAGAGTCATTACTTAGGTATTAGACAAACATATTTTGGTAAGTATTTTAGACCATTCCATTTTTTAGTGTCTCATATGTGTGTATCATGTAATTGTACCATGTAGGAAGATTTGGAATAGTAAAGAATGATGCTTGTCTTATAATTTGGAAGGAGATGATTGCTACCATTTGGATAGTGAATGTCCCCCATGTTGATGGTTCGTCCTCAGGGTGGTATTATCTGGAGGTAGGAGAAGGTTTCAGAGATAGGACTTTGTAGGAGGTCTTTGTGGGAAGTCATTGGGGATGTGTCCTTCAAGAGGAATGCGGGACCCTGGCTCCTTCCTCTCTCTGAGATGAGTAGTTCCTCAAGCCATTCTAATGGCAATGGGTCTGCCAAATTATAGGCTAGAAACTATAAAATGTGAATCAAAATTAGCTCTATCTCAGGCACCTTGTTATAGTGATGAAAAACTGACTCACACAATGATTAAAGAACAAAGACTGCAAGACATTTTTCAGATACAAGGCATTCTCAAGAAAACTGACTTTAGCTAAATGTACGAGCCAAAGGTAGGCAAATTAAAAGTATACTTACTTAAAGTGATCCACATCCATAATCCCTCTGAGAATGTTTGTGTTCTGATAAGTATGTGTGTATCCATGACTTGACATGCTGGCCTATAGTTTACCCACAAGTCTTTGGATCATGGTATAACAGCAACCGAAAGTGATGATGGATGGTGTAGTTTATAGTGTATAAGGAAGAACAGGGAAGACAGAGACAGTGAGAGAGAGACACACAGACACACAGACAGAGAAAAGGAGACAAAGGGAGACAGAGAGACAAAAAGAGAAGGGACAGAAACCAAGACAGAGAGATGGAGACAGAGAAAATGAAGTCTGTCTTCAAAGTAAACAGTTCTACGGCCAGACCATCCACCAAGGGTACACCGTCATTCAAGTAAACACAAATCAAACAGACTAAATAGTAAGAAGCCAGACACTACTAGTACCTCATGCTGTCATCCTAGCTACTTAGGAGACTGAGATGATGGAGACTGTGCTTCCAAGTCTAAATCCAGCAGAAAACTTTGTGAGACCTCATCTCAGTGGAGGGTTTGACAGGGTGGTATGCACTTGTTATGCTAGCTACTGAGAAGCCTCTTGTAGGCAGATCTTGCCCAGCTAGCAAGACCTTATCTCGTATATTACCAGCAGAAAACAGAGCTGGAAGCTGGATGCCAGTAGCTCACACCTGTAATCCTAGCTACTCAGGAGGCTGAGATCTGAGGATCACAGTTCAAAGCCTGCCCAGGCAGGAAAGTCCATAAGACTCTTATTTCCAATAAACCATCAGAAAACTGGAAGTGGCTCAAGTGGTAGAACGCTCACCTTGAGTTGAAGAGCTGAGGGACAGAGCTCAGCCCCAGAGTTCAAGCCCCACGACTGACAAAAAAAGAAAGAAAGAAAGAAAACAGAGCTGGAAGCCTGGCTTAACAGAAGGCAGGCCTCCAAGGAATGGAGTTCACAACTCAGTACTGCTAAACAAGAAGAAAAAGAAATCAGTGAAAAATAATGGCTGTTTCCATAAATTATAAGTAAATCTGCAGCAAGTTTCAGCATTTTTTTCCTGGCTCTCATGAGATGTTTTTCAGTCATATATTCCAGAGGGTTTTGGGTTTTTTAAACCAAGTTTTGAGCTAACTTTTCCTACACAAGGACACAAGAGACTGGAAGGCATCGTGCCCTTGTTGTAGAGACAAGAGATATGGATGACAAAAAAAGACTCTGATTTCCATTCAAGTATCTGCCTGGAGGGCTCAGGTAGCTCACTCCAAAGCCCTTCAAGCATTCTTAGAAGAAAGTAGAAGGGACAGGGAAGTTATTCCAAAAAAAAAAGAGAAAACCACTTACAATGAGTGGGCCCCGGTTGTTTTCTCGGTATTTGTTCTGGAAGAAGATGTAAACGACAGTGGCAGCCAGAGAGTACAGGAAGGCGAAGACAGCAACGGTGACGAAGAACTCTGCAGAGGATGAGGAGTCGCCAATCAACGCCAGCTTCTGCCGCTCCTTTCCCTCACAGGTGGGCACCTCAAAGGTCACCTGGTGCAACCTACACGGCCAGAGTGAATAAGATGCTCTTTACATGTCATGGAGGGAAATGTTGGAAGGTTTTTATTGTGAAAATACTGTACACAGGGATTACAATTACATGAGCAAGGTGACGAGTACATTTCTCATCAAATACTGTTGCCTCCTCCTTTGTTTTTTCCCCTACCATCCCTTCCCTCCCATCTCTACCACTACACGCCCCCCCAACCTGCCCCGCTTCCCCCACCTAAATTGTAAAGTTTGTTTATCAACATAGTATCTTGTACATCTCATTGTTGCAATGGGTCCACCTGTATCCCTATTTAAACATTTTGTTTTTTCCCTTCCCCTCCCCAAATTATACCATCATCAAAAACAGTGAAAACAGGGGTTATACCATGGGGGAGGGACATACAAAGCAACAAAAAATCACGTGGTACATTATAAATACATTAGAAACAATAGCAAGAAAGAAAAAAAAACACTTGTGTCCTTATCTTGGGGTTCATTTCACTCAACATCATCTTATCTGACCTTTTCTGCTTGTCTCACATATATACCAGTTATTGCAAATAAAGGAAACCATGGGACCTATGTTTCTTTGTGCCTGGCTTATCTCACTTAATATAATTCTTTTTTTTTTTTTGTCGGTCGTGGGGCTTGAACTCTGGGCCTGGGCATTGTCCCTCAGCTCTTCAACTCAAGGCGAGCACTCTACCACTTGAGCTACAGTGCCACTTCCTTAATATAATTCTTTCCAAGTCTTTCCATTTCCTTTTCTAAAGCACTGCATGGTATAACTTGGGAGCATGATGGCATTATAATGGGAGAAATTCATTAAGGAATCTGCAGAGATCCCATGGGAAATACAGAAATAAATATTGTTGTAGGTATCAATGGACTGTATTTCACAATAGCTAGTGGTTCCAAAGAGAGAGGGGACCATACGCAGACAGGGGACTTGAAATTAGGACACCTCCTGCTCCAGTTCTCCAACACTTCAATTCCTTAACATGGTCCACCAGCTTTCACCCAGTGTTGCTGTCTGAATGGCCAACTCCTTCCTCTGCAGCTTAAACTCCACCATCCTGCTCCAATTGTGTTGGTCTGCTTTCTAGATTTTAGTCACACGAAGCAGGGTCCTGAGTTGAATTATCACTGACTGTCGATGGTTCTTTCTAGGTTGTTTTCAGATAAGGTCTCACACTTTTACCCCAGCCTTGGTTCATAATCCTCTTAACCAGTCTCCCAAATAGCAGGGATTAAAATGAGCCTTATTGATTTAGTATGATGATTGATGGATCCTAATTTGACTGAACTTTTGGAAGTTTTATAGGGTCAGTTCTATCATGATGGCATAAACTACTAAGTTCCAACCCCTTTATTTCTTAAAGTCATATTCTTTTAAATTTACAGCTCAATATAACAAGGAGCTGTTTCAAACTCCACTTCGAGTGTGTTTGTGGATTTTTTAGTTTGCTCACAAAGAGCCTTTGCCTTAACCGACATAAAGGTGGACAGCTACAATAAAACACGGAGAACATTGGGAACATTGGTTATGGCCATATTGTATAGCCCCTTTCCTGCCTAAGCCAGAAGATCATTTGAAATGTGGGGATATTAAAACAAAATACATTGAAAGGTAATGTCAAATCTGAAACAGGTAAGTTTCAGACAATGTATACTTGTTTTTCTCATCTAATATTTCTTTCACCTAATAGATTTTTGATAAGTAACTCTAGAGTTCACACAGTGGCTAAGTGCTAGGCACACATTGGGTAGAAAAAGAGGAATTAGGACTGTTCTTGCTCATGCTGAACTTGAGGCAATGACAATAGTCTATAATTGATGATGCGCATGACCTCTCTGTACATCAAATTGCAAATTTTACTTTATTTCTTATTTATTTTTTTGTGCTGGTACTGGGACTTGAACACCTCCTTGGCTTTCTCACAAACAATATGCCTCCAGTCCAGCATTTTTTCTGGTTAGTTCGAGATGGAGTCTCAGAATTTTGTGTCCTGGTTGGCTTTCAATCATCTCCAGATCTCAGCCTCCTGAGTAGCTAGGATGATAGACATGAACCACCAGTGCTCTGATCTTTTCTTTTTGCCAAGTCCCTATAAGCAAGAAGACTAACACATGGTGAAAAGCAATATGGCTGGAACAAGTAGCAGATGGCAGGAAAGAGCCAGGTAGTACAGGAAGGGGAGGAGCCAATTGACTGCTACTGGAGGGCCTCTGGGGACATGTTTTGGATATTGGCCTTCACTTGAAGATGAGGATTTGAAAGATTATCTTAGGATAAATAGATAATAGAAAAACCATGCTCTGCATTGCAGCTATTTAGAGACATGTTCTCACATTCTGGATGCTAGGGAGCCCTGCAAGACCAGCCGGTCTCTCATCTGCCAGATCTCTCCACTCATGCAAAATCAGCAGGCCTGCAATCTTGGGGTGCAAAGGGGGCAGTGGGAGAGTGGGAGCAAAGTAACTCTCTCTCTTCTCTGCCACAAAGCGAAAAATAACATGTTCTCTGTTGCTGATTTACTGTGGTGACTTACATGAATTCTTACCTGGACTTAGATGCACAAGGTAGAAATGAAAAAAAAAAAACTATACACTAAAAAACACCAACTGTGCTTATTAATACTAGTGATCTAGAACTATCTTGGGTGAAGTCAAGAGAAATAAGGAAATGGAAGAGAAATTCCAAATGTATATCTAATCTACAGAGAAGGGTGGAGGGTGCTTTATAAAGGAAAAACAAAAAAAATCTTAGTCTTATGTACTTCATATCACAAGGCATTTGAATGTTGTATTGTGGTCTGCACCACTAAACGCACGTGCAAAAATTCTTTTAAATAGGTTTCGTGTGCATATATGTGTATATTAAAACATACAATATGTTACGTAAAAGTTAAATATATATCATATTTTGGAAGAAGGAAGTTTATAGTCAGCATGTATTTTGCAGCTGCAATAACTTTAGAAGCAAGTATCATTAATTTAGAACCTAAACAAGGAATAGAAAACTGTTCTGCAGAGATAGAACACATCAGCCAGCAGAATGTGGGAGCTGACAGTGCCACCTCTGATCTCATGAGGAAGGAACGCAGGGAGCAATTGCTGAGGCTGCAGAAGAAACCAAATCCAATTTGTTGATTTCAAATGCATAATGCTCTTCTTAGCTGGCCTGACCCAATCAAGGGGTAATTGAATTTCTCAGGATTTTATTGCATTTTGTTTCTCAACCAAAGGCTTCCACTTACAGAGGGGTTTCTTTCTCTCTCTTTTCCTTCTTTTACCAGAGCTTTAAAGGGGACAATTAAAAACATTTCACTGATGCTCTAATGAAAAAGTAAATGAAATAACTGAGCAGATTTCAGCTGTTTGTGGGGCTTGGAAAAATATTAAATGTATCCAACTCTTCAGGAGATTGGACAAGGGATAATTGGTATTGGTTTTTTTTTTATTAGTAAATGATGTTACAGTAACAATCATTGACATTTTTATACATCTAAGCAGTGTGGTAGGCTGTATCTCTGTATACCTACCTTTTATCTTACTTAATGCCCTTATCAGCTCTCTTAGGTAAATACCACTATCAGTATTTTATAGATTGGGAAACAGAGGCTTGAGGGGTGAGTTTGCCTAAGGTCATATGGCTAGTGAGTGGCACAGGGGAGTCTCAGATGCGAGTAGATTAGGGGCAGCCTATACTACAAACTATCATACATTTCTGTCCCTCTTCTTGAATTTCTATTAAATTTTTTCAGCACCATTAAATTTCCAGCTCAATACTTCTATAAAAATGTTAAGACAGCTGGGCGCCAGTGGCTCAGGCCTGTAATCCTAGCTACTCAGGAGGCTGAGATCTGAGGATAGTGGTTCAAAGCCAGCCCTGGCAGGAAAGTCTGTGAGACTCTTATCTCCAATAAACCACCAGAAAAACCGGAAGTGGTGCTGTGGCTCAAGCAGTAGAGTGCTAGCCTTGAGCTGAATAGCTGAGAGACAGCGCCCAGGCCAAGTTCAAGTCCCATAACAGACAAAAATTGCTAAGACAGCTTCCCCAATGTAGTGGCAGACTGAAAATTTACTCTGCAGAGGATTTGAAACCAATGATTTGTTCTGCTACTGCCTGGAAGTATGTGAAGGTGACATTAGGTATCTAGCAATGACACAGCTGAATCTCTATACACTGACCAATTAAAAAGTCATTCAAAACTTTCTAGTTTTCAAACATTGTCTTTGGGCTTTCCAATGTTTGCCTCAGAACCAAAGCAGAGGGAAAATGAGTAGAAATTGTGATCATTACAGTGTGATTGTTTATAGAATGTGCAAAATATGGCCATCTGGTAATAAGATTTTAGAAATTATTGGCAGTGTCTTTCAACAGGTTGAGAGAAAATAGGGCTTAAAATGATTAACCATGGAACTCAGGGTGGCTCAGTGAAAGACTACCAGCACATCCCAACAGCAGTGATCCAGCCCACAGGTAAAGTGGGAGGCGCTGGCGGTGTTAGGAGCAAGCTGCTGTCCCTGAATTTCTAAAAGTCAGAAGGAAGGTAGCCAAGGGCACCTGGCAAACAGTGGTTCTGGGTATAATATTTTCTTTCCCTAATCATTCCCTGTTTCAATCTTGTTAACCCATTGACAAACACTAATAATATTCCAGTTTTTCACTCTCTTGTCAATATAAATATTAACAATTTGTCTGGTTTTAGATGAACTTTGTTTTTTCTACTTTTAGTTTTGCTAATTATGCACACACTGTGTGTGTGTGTGTGTGTGTGTGTGTGAATGTAAGGATTTCATTTGGATGTGCATTTACACATAGACATATGCATACACATTCACAGACACCTACTTATATGCTTCAAAGCATAAATCACTGCACAAATGAAAGTTTACATCAGCATTTTCACACTCTGCATATCTCTTATTGTCTTCCACACAGCTCTTCTCAGCCTACAGACAGGATGAGACGAGACAGGATGGAGCTCAACTATCCTGACAGAA